TTTTGTAGATGGTTGGTCACCACTCTTAGGCCTTTTGTTCACTGCTTGTGGTGGGTCTCCAATCTTTTTCCGGCGCCGACTTAATGGAGAAACCCATCCGGAAGCTTCCGTCCTTTGAGTTAAAATAGTACTTGGCGTAGCAATTGTGCTTAAATCATATTTAGAGTTCTGTATTTTAGGAATGATGTAAAATATATATTACGCCCATGAAAGGAAGATCAATGATTCCTATAAATTACCTAATGGAAAATTTCTAGAAGAAGCCCAACAAGAAACTAAGCATCTTGTTGTGGAGAAAAAGGTAAATTTTTATGTTACTTCAAAAGTAGTTGCTTCGCTTCAACCACGCGTATTCTTAGCATGATTTTGGGGAATCTCTTCGCTATCACTCAAACAATCATGAAACATACTCCCTCCATTCCTTTATATAAGATGTATTTGTTTTTCCAGAAAGTCAAATGTGTGCATGTTTGATCAAGTTTTTAGAAAAATATATGAATATCCATAATATCAAATTTATATCATTTGATCCAACATGAAAAGTAGTTTAATATTTTATCTATTAGTATTGCAGATGTTGATATTTTATTTTATCATCTTGGCTAAACCTAAAGATTTCACAAATCAAAGAAAAATATTTCAGAACAAATAGGAACAATTTTCAGTTGTCTCAACAACATAATTGGATCAGAACAAATATCTTAGTAGAATCTTCTTTCAAATATGAATCAAATAAAAATTAAAAAAATATGAATCTAATACTCCCTAGAATCCATATTACTTTGTTGTTAGCTTATAACTAAGATTTTGTTATTCAAACTTCTAGCCCACTTTAAGGTAAAGATTGGAGTGAGCCTGGTAAAGCCGGACGGAGGAAGCCGGACGAGACTTGCCTGCTCCCCCCGCGTGCATCCATCCGTGCTCCCGCATACGTGGCATAATTTAATTGGAATAAAATAAGGCCCGGCCCCATCCCTTAAAATTAGGGGGGAGATGATTAGATTAGAAAGAAAAAAAAGAAAAAGACAGCCGTAGGATGAAGTGGGAGCACGGATGGAAGCATGAGGAGGGAGCAGTCAAGCCGGATCCGAGAAAGCCCTCAGTTAGTTACGTGTAATCTAAGAATAATTGAGGAGAATGATACTAATCACGCACTTCTCGAGCAGATTGATTGCCTTGGAACTTGGAAGTAAGTACATACGGTGTACCGAGCAGGAAGAACAAATGTACGTTGCTGTCATCGAATACCGAAACATCAAGGAATTAACACCAATATACAAAAGAACAAGTCCCTATCGGTCTATGCATCGCTTTTCACCGCATCCTCTCAGTGCTCCCCATCCGGCATCCGCCTATATAAACGCATCAGATTATAGCCCAACCAACCTGCAGCAAGTAGTGCAACACAACACTAGCAAGGTCGATCGATCGAAGGTAGCTAGCAAGTAAGGAAGACTAGGAAGAAGAAGAAAGATGGCGGCGGGGGGCGTGTGGGTGTTCAAGAACGGGGTGATGGAGCTGGAGCAGGAGGCGACGAGCCGGAAGGCGCTGGTGTACGTGCCGGCGAACGAGACGATGCGGTCGCTGGCGGCACTGGAGCGGCGGCTGGGGTCGCTGGGTTGGGAGCGCTACTACGAGGACCGCGCCATCGTGCAGCTCCACAAGCGCGGCGGCGTCGACCTCATCTCCATTCCCCGGGACTTCTCCAGGCTCCGCTCCACCCATATGTATGACGTCGTCGTCAAGAACCGCGACCAGTTCAAGGTCGTCGACCTCTAGTTATAGCCATCTTGGTCGGTAATATTCTTCCTATTCTAGCCGGATAAATTCATGGCTCCGCGCCACGAATATATGTATAGACGTACAAATAAGAACCTGCGTGTACGATTATGCATGTGTTGTACTGTTCCTGTGTGATGTAGTATGTAACTGTGGGCCTCTGTCAGAATATGTAACCCGTGTGCACTTAACGGTGGAAAATATATGTACGTGAGTACCGGGGTTTAAAATCTCTGATTAAGAAACTTGGATCGCCGAAATAAATTTGTTTTACCAAAGGTTCCCCCGCCTCATTTTATTGAACTAGATGATACCCCGTTGTTGTGGGAAATTTTTTGTAATATATTCAGTTAGAATTGGTTGTGTGAAACATGAATATTTAAAGTAATATTTTTTTTGATCGAAAGGGGTTTCCCCCCGCTCCATTTTATATAAACGAAGCAAAGCGAGTCACAGCAGACCGTTACAAGCATTCGGGACCTGCCTGAATGGCAGGACCTGAGACACCGGAATCAAAAGACAAATTCAGCGTTCTGAGGAAGCGCATAGACGGTCATACATCTACCACGACAGGGGAACTGACGGATACATTTGCCAGCTCTTTTTCACTCTGCTATTTTATCTCTTTTCACACTGGGTGAATCTTCAGCATCTCCTCTTCGATCTTTCTCTTGCAAGCTCTCAGGCCGACTCCCGTGCAATCCTGAGCAGCTCGCCTCTTCACCGATCTAGGAGTTGGATGCATCTTCTCAGCAGCACCGATTGGTCGCCCACACATAGCACCTTCCATTGATGCAGCGACGAGCTGATCCTTGCCAAGATTGCACGCGTGCTTGTCCACTGTACGCCCTGAAAGCACATGTCATTACGCATCGTCCAAATGCTCTAAATGGTAGCAACACAAGCAATATTAGTAACAGACTTTTTGTTATTTAGATTCCAGAAAGAAGATAATTCATTCATGTCATTTGGAATACTAAACTCAAAAGAGTCAGATATATCACTCCAAACTTGTTTAGCAACCACACATTCAAAAAACAGGTGACAGACAGTTTCATCCTCATTACAAAATAAGCATTTTAGATTTTCCACCTCTCTCCTCTTATTCAGGTTATCCCTGGTAAGAATTTTGTTATGAAAAGCTAGCCAGAGAAAGACTAAATATATGTGAGGTACAACAATCTTCCAGAATTTTTTCCAAATGGGGGTAGACACTCCCCCACCCCCCCAATTAATCATGTTATAAAACGACTTAACTGAATAGACCCCCGATGATTCCAATCTCCAAATGGGTTGGTCCGTCTCGTCAGTTATTGGCATGTCAGAGATGATTCGGATCAATTCATGCCATCTATCCAAAAACCCAGCCTCCACACATCTGTTGAAGGTAAGTTTGAGAGTAGAACCATCCCATACCTCAGAAACTGCGCAGCATTGCTGTTGGCAGATTTCATACACGTCCCAGAATTGGGTTTTGAGGGAAGAATCCCCCACCCAAACGTCATCCCAAAAGCTTATTTTATTACCATTCCCTAGTTTCCATTTATAGAAGGGCCTAACCCCCTCCAAGGCCCAGGTGACACCTTTCCAGAAGGGAGAGCCCACACCCTGCCTAGACCACAGTATATTTGGCTTAGTTGTTTTATATTTGTGGTCGATCAGCTTCACCCAGTTTTTTTTACTGTCCATAAAATACCTTTTAGGCTAAGAGGCTAGTAAGGCCATGTTGAATTCTCTCAGGTTAGGTACCCCCAGACCACCAAAGTCTTTTTTCTGGGAGATCAAACCCCAATTAGCAAGATGGTACTTATGTTCATCCCCCACATTCCCCCAGAAAAAGTGAGCCATCTGAGAAGTGATGGCCTTGATCGCCCACTTGGGGAACTTAATAACTGACATGAGGTACATGGGGATACTGGCAATGCATGCCTTGAGGAGGACTAGTTTTGCTTCATAGCTAAGTAGTCTCCCCTTCCATCCACATATCCTTTTGATGATCTTATCTATGATGTATTGGATGTCTTCTCTTCTCAATTTGAGGTAGTGAAGAGGAACTCCAAGATATTTTAGAGGTAAATCCCCCAATTTACAACAGAAAATCTGAGACAAGAGTTTAGCATCATCCTCATTCATATTGATAGGTACTACTTCACATTTGTCATAATTGATTTTTAACCCAGAAAGGTTTTCAAAGCAGGCAAGTAGCCATTTCAAGTTCCTAACATATTCAGGTTTAGGGTTAAGAAAGAGAATTGTATCATCAACATATTGCAGGCATATGAGTCCTTGAGGGATGATATGGGGAACAATCCTAGATATGATATTATTATTAAATAGCTTTAGCTAACATGCGAGAAAACACATCAGCCACCAAATTAAAAAGCATGGGGGAACTTGGATCCCCTTGTTTTAAACCTTTCCACCCACAAAGTATGGACCAAGGGTATCATTGATCTTAACACAGAAAGAGCTCTGTTGCAAAATGGATAAGTTCCATCTAATCCACTTAGCCCCAAATCCCCTAGATGTAAGCATTTCTACTAGGAAATCCCAGTTCACTCTATCATAGGCTTTTTCATAATCTATTTTGAGAACAATCCCAGATTCTTTTGATTTATGGACCTCATGGATGGCCTCATGAGCAGTAACTACACTTTCTAAAATGAACCTGCCTCTCACAAAGGCAGATTGACATGGGGATAGGAGCTTATGACCAACAGGGCCAACTCTGTTTGTCATAGCTTTACTGAATATCTTAACAGAACAGTTGCTCAAACAGATGGGTCTGAATTTCCTCATGTTCTTGGCATCTGGCTCTTTAGGGATCAAAGTAACAATAGAATAGTTTAGTCTCTGGACATCCAGAGTCCCATTTTCAAAATCTCTAACCAGAGCCATAACGTCACCCTTAATCACCTCCCAGAATTGTTGATAAAAAATAAAAGACAAACCATCAGGACCAGGGGCTCCATTAGCATATGATCCCATAATGGCCTCTTTAATTTCTTCTTCTGAAAAAGGTCTTTCCAAGGACGTATTTTATGCTTCTGTCACCATTTCTTCCTCACACCAAAACTGGTCATCTAAATGTATATTAGGTTTAGGCTCAAACCCAAAGAGGTTTTTATAAAAGTTAGTGGCCACCTCCAGCATGTCCTTAGTGGAGTATACATGCCCATTAGGACCCTCCAGCATAGTCAATTGATTCTTCCTTCTGCGTTGGTTAGCAACAACATGGAAGTAAGCTGTGTTTCTGTCTCCTTCTTTGATCTTCCTATCTCTAGATCTCTGCCACATGGCAGTCTCGTCCTTCTTCCAGATCCCCTCAAGTTCCTCTTTAATTTGTTTCATTCTGACGACTAAAGCTGAAAATAGATATGATGTATGGTGTTTGATTATTGTATAATGTAAATATCATAATAGAATGTAAATTCTCATGCATGTTTGCATGACGAGGTGCCTTTTTATTGTTAGATAATAACGAGAAATAAACGAGACACGAGAGACATGGATTTTTATGTGGAAACCATTGCGGGAGAAAACCACAGACGCACAAAGGCGCAATCACTATGATGGAGGAGTATTACAAGCACGAGATGACAGGCCGTCGGCGAGGTGCGACTACATGGGGTATATATGAGGGCAATACATGAGAGTCATTGGAGGACAAGTAAACGAGTTGTACTCGTACGCGTCGACGTCAACGCAAAGGCCCACACCGGTTGTACTACGTCTAGTCCAACACAGTATAATTTGGATCACAATTTAACAATCTCCACCTTGATCCAAATTTCCTTCAGTAGTCGAAGAAAGTAGATAACTCCATCCAAATCAGCATAAACACCTTGTGCGTCAAAGTCCATAGGACTAGTGAGAAATACCAACTAAGCCTGAGCAAAGCTCAAACTTATTGGTCGGAACTGGCTTTGTCATCATATCAGCAGGATTATCATGAGTACTTATCTTCCATACCTTCAAATCGCCTTCAGCAACAACATCTCGAATATAATGAAATCTAACATCAATGTGCTTTATATCTTGTCTCATCATTAGGAGAAACACCTTCTTTTCTCTTGAAACCCCACTTGCAACGAATAGATTTCTTCTCTCTAGGTAATTTTACTAAATTCCAAGTACCATTCTTTTTAAGTGATTCCATCTCATCATGCATAGCGGTCATCCACTTATTATTATCACCAGAAATAATAGCCTCGGAATATGAAGAAGGTTCAACATTACCTTCAATTTCTTCTGCAACAGATAAAGCAAAAGAAATAACATTGCACTCTTCAATTAACCTGTCAGGTTTATTAATACCCCGCCTAACTCTGTCACGTGCAAGATTCCAAGTGGGCGGAACAATAGGCTAATTTGGAGTGGGAGTGACATGATCATCATTAACGACGGGTTCATCATGTGCATCAACAATATCATTACCAGATGTATCACCTGAATCAATAACATGCTCCACTTGAACAGTAGGCTCCTGAACAATAGGCTGCCGTTCACTCTCAATGGGAGCATTAGTAGATGAAACATCATGTAACATAGCAGATCCATTAAAGATAACATTTTTGCTAATAACAACCTTCTGGGTTTCAGGATTCCATAATTTAAAACCCTTAACACCAGACTTATAACCAAGAAAGATGCACTTAACAGCCCTAGGCTCCAATTTTCCATTATCAACATGAGCATAAGCAGTGCAACCAAAAACTCTCAATTGTGAATAATCAGCAGGTGAACCAGACCATACCTCAATTGGATTTTTCTTATTAAGAGCAATAGATGGTGAACGGTTAATGAGATAACAAGCAGTGGAAGCGGCCTCAGCCCAAAAACGCCTATGCAAACCTGCATTGGACAACATGCAACGGGCTCTGGAAATAATGGTCCTGTTCATGCGCTCAGCAACACCGTTTTGTTGAGGAGTATAAGGAACGGTGTAATGTCTGACAATGCCTTCAGACTTGCAATAATTCTTAAATTGCTTAGAACAGAATTCCATACAATTATCAGTGCGAAGTATTTTTATCTTCTTTTTAGTTTGTCTCTCAATCATAATCTTCCACTCCTTAAAAGCTGACAATGCTTCATATTTATGCTTCAAGAAATAAGGCCATACTTTTCTTGAATAATCATCAATAATA